ACACTTATATTTTGTGGGGTAAGCGAAGGTAGTACACTATTGACACACAGCTCTATTCGGGATCTATTTTAATTTTAACCATATTATTCAATAAAATAATATATATTACACGTAAATCTAAAATTTTTCCTTCTTTTTTCACATTCTCCAAAAAATTATTATTCCAAAATACATTTTTCTCAAAATTTCATGAAAATGGAGCTCAAACAAGGGCACAATGTCAAAAAAGAAAATAAGTTGACATTTTGTTCTATGTATCATGAGTGTATCAAATGTGCACTTAATGCGAATAATGTTGTACAACTTTTTTAAAATTGTAGTACAAAATAAGCTGTTTTGTTGGATATAAGAATGAGCAGGTGTACCTCGCATTCCAACTAAATTGACAGAATCACAAAATAAGTTGCTTATGAAGCCAATTGCAAAATACATTGCAATTAAACAGCATGAATTGTCGTGCAAGATCCAGAATTTCAGGTGTTTGCACCAGTTTTATTTCCTTAGATAGACGTAATGGAGAAGGGAAATTGTCATCTTTATTTATTTATTTTTAACTGGTTTGAAGGAAGTAAAGAAGGGAAACAGGGAAAAAAGTAACAAATGATTTTGTCCCATGCCGATGGCTTGTGAGTTGTTATCATTGGATAAATTGTTGTATAGATTATATTCCGTTAACAAAAACACGTGTATGTTGTTGGGACCGATTGACCAATAATGTAGAAATTGAGATTCAATAAATACAACTTGTTGTAATTAAAGTAATTAACAAGATCACGAATAACCCAAGAACAAGATTAAAGTAAGTAAAAAAAGAACTGACAGAAGGAACGATGTTTTATTAATTCACTATGAAAGGAGAGTATAATACAACAAAAGGCTTCTACAATACTGAAAAAGGAGCCCTGTATTTATAGTATAAAATCTAGCCCTAAAAGAGTCTCAAACAAAGGTAAGAAATCTAATGCAATTTAGACTCCTATTTGAGTCTCACTTCTAACAATCTCCACATTGACTCAAATTCCGGTGCAACGAATGAAGCTCCAAAATTTCTCCACCTTGAGAAATAATCCATCTGCATCAGAATGAACTGACAAATCTCCTCAAGGCAATAACCAAACTCTCCACGATAACACGTTCCCTCGCCCGGTGTCCACAAGTGACACCCGAACCCAAATCCGGGTTCCCAAAATTCCTCCTGGAATTAACAATCACTAGACAGGGTTGAAGCACGCCCTGTAGCAGAAACCACACCAAATCCACAATCAGAAGGTCCCTTGCCAATATTGTCACCTTCAATGATTTCTAAAGCATTATAGGCATATCCAAAACTGTACCTACACTCCATGAGTCCATTGGCATTACAAGAACACAACATACCCGCTAAAATTGGTGGCAAAGCGGAATCACCAACACTCCCTTGAGCAAAGTTCTTAATTGACCTAGAGCCAAACTCGTGAGGTACTGTGCCAAATTGAATGTCCACCACGGTACTGAACTTGTCCAAATGTCTCTAAACTGGTTCTGCGCTCCCCTGCAAGATGTACAACTGGGATTTCCTCCATCCTTCCAGTACAACCCGGACACCCCTTCGAACCTTCAAGACTCCACCTCCACCAAAAAATTTGTACCCTTTTTCATCCAAGGTACTTAGTGATATGAGATTCTTTCTCAAGTCTGGAATATGGTGAACGTGATCAAGTGTCCTTACTGTTTCATCTTGTAACCTCAATCTGACCCGATCGATTCTTGCAACCTGACAAGATTGGTTGTTTCCCATGACAACTCCACCTTGTTTCACCGTCTCATATGTTTGAAACAAAGTCCTATTGGGACACATATGATACGACCAAGCAGAATCCAAAATCCATTCCTCAGGTTTGGATTCCCCATCAGATACAGTCAACATCACATCTCCATCATCACAAAAATTTTCAGTAATATAAGTCTCGTTCGAATTACCTGATTGCCCCACATGATTTGCATGTAAATCACCTTTACCTTGCAACTTGTCACAATCTTTCTTGATGTGTCCTTTCCTCTTGCAGTAATAACAATACACATTGTTGTACTTCACTTTTGATCTACCCCTCCATCGATCACCATGAGTAACAAGAGCATCCCCACTGCTAGATGTAGGATCTCCAACCAACAGCTCCATCTTCTCCTTGGAGAACAGGGCATCGTATACCTCCTCAATGGATAATGTGTCACGACTATACAGAATAGTATCACGAAATGACGAAAAAAAATTGGGTAGCGAACACAACAGGACCAAGGCTAGATCCTCTTCATCATATTTTACCTCCAACGTCTCCAAATCTGCAACGATCTCCTTGAACACAGCAAGGTGGTCCTGCAGTGACCCTCATTCCACCATGTGATGAGAATACAACCTCTGTTTTAGAGTTAGTTTGTTCGTCAAACTCTTTGTCATGCATAACTGCTCCAACTTGAGCCACAAAGCAGCCGCTATCTTCTCCTTCAAAACATCTTGCAGCAAATTGTTGGATAAATGAAGTTGGATTTGCGCTAAAACCTTCCGATCCCTCCGTTGTTTCTCCTCCATAGACAAGTTTGCTGGCATCCTATCAAAACCCAGCAAAGCATCTTCAAGATCCATCTGCGTCAACACAACTCTCACCTTTACTTGCCACAGCAAAAATCTTGTATTGCGATCCAATAGCGGAATTTCATACTTCAACGAATTCATCTCTGAAAAATCTCAATCAAATCAGGAAGAACTTGCAACCTGCAACACCCAAAATTGAAAACTACCGAACGTGCAAGGGGCAAAATTGTCCAGAACCACAATTTTGCCCAAAACTGAAATTAGACAGCACCACAAGGTTCGTCTCGTCGTTCGGAGAAAACTGCCTGAAGACACCATCGCTGTAAACCGCCGCACGCACCGCCACTCTCCTCGCCGGAGTTTCACCGCCGGCGACTGCCGGAAATGCGCCGACGACTTATGACCCTTTCTGGACCGTCTCTGCCTGCTGAGTCCACTGGTGATATTCGTTTCTCCAAACTCTTTTTAGTTTGACCAGAAAACGTAAAAATAGATCCGGTAGAAAATAGAAAAATTGGACAGATTCATTTTCTGATTTTCTAGTAATTTTCAAACGATTTTTGATCAGTTTCAGGCAAAAAATCCACCAATAACCCCACTCTGATACCACTTGTTGGGACCGATTGACCAATAATGCAGGAATTGAGATTTAATGAATACAACTTGTTGTAATTAAAGTAATTAACAAGATCACGAATAATCCAAGAACAAAATTAAAGTAAGTAAAAGAAGAATTGTCAGAAGAAACGATGTTTTATTAATTCACTATAAAAGGAGAGTACAATACAACAAAAGGCTTCTACAATACTGAAAGAGGAACCCTGTATTTATAGTATAAAATCTAGCCCTCAAAGAGTCCCAAACAAAGATAAGAAATCTAATGCAATTTAAACTCCTATTTGAGTCACACTTCTAACATATGCAAATGTGAATAGAGGAACGATTTATTGAAACTATAGTGCATGCATAATAATAAGCAAATCACGACTTACTCAAATGTAGAAAATGCAAAAATACAAAAGAGATAAATGAGATGAGATCTCCTTAAGATAGATTTCATCTCGTAGTGGTGCTAGCTATCAGGATCAAATGGACATCCGTCTCCCTAGATATGATGCTTCTTCCAAGATTAATATAGCACAATATTAATTTTGTCGAGCGAACTAACGCTTTATTGTAGTATTCTAAAACGGAAGATATTGTATACGGAACTTTGACATAATTTGGAGTGGGAAATAATTAGAAATCAATTATATGGAATTGATTGGAGTTAAGAAAATGAAATTGGGGAGGTCTTATTCATAGATTTTCATGTGTCTTCTCTTATGGTCACATCTTTTGACACATTAATTTTAATCATTATTTTGTCCATTTCATATTTAATGGTGTAGATTGCACCTTATCAAAATGTCACACTCAACCTGAAACAACATAACTCTTTGATATGCTCTATTTGCAATGGAAAAGTTGCAACTATTTGTCGTACCAATTGGAGACTTTTCCAATTTACACCTATAAATATCCCAAAATTCCAACAATAATTTTAGACAAAAAGAGCTTATAGCAAATATCAGCTACTAGAGGGATCGTTCCCACAAAGCACACAGAAAAAAAAATCTCAAGTAAACTCGTCTCTCAATATTGCTTTTTTATTTATAGAAAGCGTTTTTAAATATTGAACTCGTTTCATATCTGCTTATATAACTTTCGAATAAATCCTATCCAACAGCCGTAGCTAGTATATTACTGTTTTAGAATGCCCCAAATCAAGTTTTCTTTCTTAAAACTTTTTAAGAATCACCCATTTCAATTCAAAATATTCAGCAATTTTCATTGTGTAAATGATCACGCATACAGCAAATTGAGCTTCAAGATTGCAATTTTAGAGACTATATTTTATTCTTCGTTTTTTATACAAAATATTTTCTCTTACTTGGCTCCATAGTTAGTAGAAATAAACTAACATCTTGTTCGGTGCTGATTAAAATTAAAATTTTAATTTAAATAAAAGTCAACAATCAATTATATTATATATTTCATAGTCTCGTAATTTTTTAATCATACATTTGATCAATTTTTATCAAAATTTAATAAAACTCTGATTTTAATTACCACCAAATGAGGGCTAAATATATGTTCAAATTTAAAATTCTCAGTGGAAAATCGAGTTAATATCGTAAGACTAGGATTCTTGTATGTCTATGCATAAGGGATTGTTTGATAGAACATTTTTTTTTTCCTTTTTCGATAAAAAGCTGGTCAACTTTTTTTAAACCACATTCATCAACTTTTATCCATTTTTGAATTGAACATTTCATGGTACTCATTTTCTTTTATCAACTTTGTTTGCTAAAATTCATTAAGCATCAAACATGAACTTAATTTACTAGTAGAGTATTGGTAAATAACAACAGGTAGACAAAATTAAATAGACAAGAAATTAACTTATTACGTACTAAATTCCAGAATTCAAAACACAAGAAATACATTAGACCTCGGAAATAAAACATCAGACAACAACCTAATTAGACAAAATTATGACAGCAGGCCAACAATTTCATACCCCAGAATAAACATGAAAAATACAATAAAAGACAACCAAGAAAGGACACTTGAAAACAAACTTTTTAAGGCAAAATGCCGCCGGCACCGGCTGCACCACCAACTCCGCCACCGATTCCGGCTCCTTTAAAACCCAGGCCACCAACTTTTCCAATTCCGCCGCCTAGACCTCCAACACCACCAGCACCCCCAAGGCCACCGGCTCCACCAACTCCGCCAACACCACCAAGAGGCAGAACAGGCAGCACCCCTGCAACTCCACCAACACCGGCACAGCCCCCCACGCCGCCGAAAGTGACGAAGTTCTTCTGATCATCTACGCCGGCAGCACCCACATTGTGTTTGTTTTCCACGTGGGTTAGGGTATTAGCGTTAGGGTTTGTGTCTTTTGTTTCGGTAGGAATGTTTCTTGCAGTTGCATGCACAAGTACAAGTGCAAGAACAAATATTACATACAATTTTTCCATCTCTCTCTATATTTATATATTTCCCTCTATATCACACACACAAACATACAGAGAAGAAAGTGAGAATGAATGTAGAGAAGGAGGTGGTATTTAAGGGCATTTTTGAGGCTGAATTGGGTGGAAGACAGTTGAGAGAATTGATGGGGGTATAGTAAATGTTGGAATTAAACTTCTGCTCAAACAGTCTCGATAGTAGCATTTCTATGACAATAGAAGAAGAGTGAATTATTGTCAACCCACTACAAGACAATGGGGAGCACCGGAGTCGAGTATTTGCTGGTAATTCAAGCAGTTTCGAAAATATATTTGATAAAAATGTAACTTAGAAGTTTGAGTTAGGGTTAAAGGACAACTAAACACGCTCCATTTCTCGTTTTAAAACGCGAAAAGAATCTCTAAATCGAGAAGTGAAATAGAACATGAAATCATAAGCTCTCAAGTAGTGGAAGTAGCCATGTATTAACCGAGTGCATGGTCAACTCATAGGGAGTAACTCGGTTAAGGGAACCTGTCAAGGCTGTAGCTAAAGCAAGTCTCAATTATATTCATTTAATATCCTTTTGGTGTCATTGACATGGCAAGTATTATTTCTAGTCTGTCTGTCTCTTTCTATTTCTTTCTGAAAAATTCAAAAATAATTATTAGAGTTTGCAGTAAAAAATAAACAAGGGAGGTTTGTAATGATTTTTCTGATTTATCTATTACTAGAATCAAGTTTGAATAAAATTAAGTAGAGGTCGAAACTGGTCGATGTTATTTATTAATAACAGATGAGTTGTGGTTATGAAATGCCACTCAAGCTCAGAGGTAACTAGTTAGTCTTGAAGGAAATGTGTTAAAGCTGGTTTTTATGATTAATAAAATTGAATGGATCAATTTAAGAATACAGATTTTATTATGTTATATTAAATTGAATTCAACGTGATTAAAAAAGAGATGTATAGCGAAATTTGAAATATATTATCTGACTATCCAATGTGACATTAATGCCTATCAGTCCACCTAACTTGATTTCAATGCCAGCCCATGCAAACCATATTAATCGCTTACACTTGTTAGGATTGTGGCATGCATATTAAATGATACTGTACAATTTTTTTTTTTTTTGGGGGGAATATTGGAATTTGTTTGGTTATTAATTTGCATAAAATTGGAACATTAAATTGATCTTACGATTGTAAATTGGTAATATTTAACATTAGTGATGTTAGAGCATTGATTTAGGCGTATACATTTTATAGATTCAATTAAACTAGTCATGCGACTTTACATTTAAAATGAATATATCATTTAATATCATGTAATTAACAGTGCCAAAACTAGCATTTAACATCGATAATGATGAATAATAGTACTCAGTAAGAATGGTAGACAATAAGATGTTGGAAAAATTGGGTGATTTGTGTTTAGATACTTACCAATTAAAACAATCAATTTATATGTAATAATAATATGAATATACGAGAAGAAGAGTTAGAAATGCAAGTTTTGGAAGTCACGTCAAAGACGCTGTTTTAAAGTCGGGTTGCATCCCATCATGCAGGTGCTTTTGGCACTACACGATTCCAAAATAGAACTCATAGGACTCACAATCGGTTCTCCTTCTATGGGCACGACCATAAAGAGCTAAGTGAACAAACCTTTATCAAATTGCCAAAATTATAGAAAATAATATATAAGTATAGAGAGTATTCTTATGAAATTATTTTTTCCATGTTATGGTTAACCCCATGAAAATCACTCTCTTTTATAGGAAGAAATGCAACCCCACATTCATGAAAATAAATCATATTTATGTATAAGTTATAATACATTAATCATGAATTTCAAATTTGTATTAAAATGTAAATTTGGAAGTTGAAAATTAAATTTACTTTTAATTTTGAAATTTAAAACTTATTAGAACTTAAGTTACAACGTAAGATACCTAAAAGAATTACATTTTCATTGTATTATTAAATCAATTAGAGTAATATCATTTGGATTACAATACAATTAAAAATTACACTTCAATGCCTTTACTGAATTCTGTGGATATGTGATGATGATGAAGTGGTCACGAGATAGGATAAGGCAGTCGACTCTTGATTGCTATTTGATGTTTCACATGACTTGGTTGGGTAGGTTGAAACCATGGACGATTTTTCTTTGAAAGGCACCGCGAGACAAAGCTCAAATTTGAGGTTTCAATTTTAGAAAAAAAATAAATCTGAGCAAATTTTGTTGTCGAGAGTGGCTTATTAGCAGATTTACTAATTTATTACGTACATGACAAAATATAGGCATGTGCATCGAGTGGATCAATACGAGTATTTTAATACTTGAAAACCATTCATTATACTTTGGGTTAAATGGAATCATTCGGGGTCCACTTAATTATTAAAATCTAATCCAAACCAGAACTTTCAATTTCGGTTCGGATTTATTTCTACTCGAGAGAAGTTGCTGAGGTTTGAGAATTGGTGCCATCACTTATTCTTTGTCATTGGTCATAGATACAAGGTCGGTCCTAAGATTTTGAAGGCTTTAGACCTATTTCAAATATGAGGTCCCATATGTATATAAAAATACATGTAAAATAAAAAACAAATAATATTTTTGGGGCCCTCACCAAAGTGGGTATTAGGCGATCGACTACCTCGTCTATAGTTAGGCCAGCATTGCATAGATATAGGACAAGATAGATTGGAGAAGGACAGCAAAGAAATGGACATGACCAAGGGAAGAAGAATTGATTTAAACCAAACTCTTGAGAGTTTTGATTTGTTCTGATACTATGGAAAGAATAAATTACGAAGTAGAATTATATTTTCATGTGCAGCTTGACTTTTTTTTTTTTTTTTTTTTTTTTTTTTTTTTTTTTTCATGTGCAACTTGACTTTTTTTGAATTCGCATCTAAATTCATTGAGTAACTTTGAATTAAGAAAGAAAATCTTCATCATATTTAAAGGTTGCTTGTCTAATACTATCATAACTTCTTCGTCCCTCACTGAAAATTTGAAACAGAAATTGTTCTCCATGTGCAAATCACTCTCTTGCAGTATAGGATCCTTGTAACCAAAACTCTCTTACATGTCGTACATCAAAGGATCTTATACTTTTTGCTTCCTGTTTGTATTTGGACAAACTTCATTTATTATTGATCGATCTTTTCTTGCCCAATTCCTTGTTGATTCTTGGATTTTCACCACCTCTCATATTTGCTCCGATTTCCATTTGTGAACCGAACGACGAGCTGATCCATTGGCGCTGGGAAGATTTTCATAATCTTGCAAACCACGTAATCCTTGCTCGTCTACCCGTCCTAAGAAACGCAGTCAAGTGAATACTCGTTCATAATCCACTGTCTGTGATTCTTCTTTGTTACAACTGAGTCTTCCTTTACTTCGAAACTCAACATTTTGCTAGAGCCTATTATTTCACCATTGCAGTTCTTGTTTATATTTGCCCCGGTTTGGCCATCCCATGTCCTCCAACCGGTTCTTTTTTTCAGTTTTTTCTTGCCAAATTTAACAACTTTTGTGTGAGTCGAATCTATTGAAATTGGTAGGCCCTTCTCATATGGTGAGTTGGATGAAGAGGTTCTTGTGGAGCAACCTTGTGGATATAAGTTGAAGAAGGTATTTCATGAGCTTAAACAAACACCTCGTGCTTGATATTGTTGTAAAGAAGACTTTCATAAAGGAAGTGATTACGAGCTTACTTTTTTCATCATGAAAAAAATAGTAAGGCAAAGTATTAATTGTAAGCTTGTATGTTGATGATCTCGTTTTTGCTCGAAATGATGAATTGGTGTTTACAAAGTTCAAAAATTCCAAGAAGCATGAGTTTCAACTACACATTTCACTAACTTTTATCAAAATTTAATTTTATTTGCCACCAAACAAGGGCTTAGTTTTTGATGAGGACATCGGAAATTTATTTATTTTATTTTCTAGTTAAACTTTATTTATTTTCTTGGACTATTATTTAGAAAATTGAACTTGTATGGGCTCGAGCCCAATTTCGTTAGGGTTTGCTTTACTATTTAAACATACTTTGCTTTGTAATTTTTTAGTTGATAAATGAATAATTATTTTGGTGGCTTATGGCTCATCCCTCTCCTTCTTCTGTTAAATTCTTCTTCTTCTCACCTTTAATTTCCTATTCTTTCTGAATCTGTCGTTTTTTCTATTAATCTTTTTATTGGTGCTTCATCAAATTTGGTATCAGGGCAGAATCTTGGTAATTTATCATCCTCAAACCAAAATTTCTTCGTATCCCCTTCCCAAAATTTGTTGGAACAGCATAATCGAAACAAATTTAATGTAAGAGCAGCAATTTCTTTTTTTTTTTTCCTGTCACTTTTCTCTCTTAGTTGCAAAAAAAAAAAAAAAAAAAAGTTTTACTATTCACGGGTACTGTTTATGCATGAAATTTCAAATTTTAGATTTTCTGCAATCTATTACAAAAAAAATAAAAAAATAAATTGTATTTTGTCAGTTTGTGGCTGCTGCTAGTAACATTGTTGTTCCATCAATTTCAACTTTAGACCTTAATTACAATTTCCCAATTGGCCCACGTACAACACCAATCCTACCCACCTTTAATAGACACGGTCCAACCCATAATAACCCAAATCTATTCACACATAAAGCAGCCCAATTTAACCTAGCCCATTACTGACCCAATTTACAACAATCAGCTCAAGTCACAAATACTCACTGCATCCCTTTACTTCATCTTCTCTTCCCTTCATCTTCTCTTCCCATCATCGCGATTTCCAAGCCGACCCAACATCTGAACTCGAACCGTTTTCATGACCAGCAACCCAAATTTCATTTGGTTTCCCCGTCATTCTGCCTCGCTTCCGCCAGTCACCGCCACCGACTTTTACAATCCAGTCGGTCGTCGCCTCTTTCCATCCCCTTCACTTTCGTTCTGTTCGCTCACCCCCACCAGTCGCCCGTTCCCTCGCTTCCGCCAGTCGTCGCTGCCGACTTTTACAATCCAGTCGGTCGTTACCTCTTTCCATCCCCTTCACTTCCACCTTCACACTCAAAATGTCACAGTCATCTCCACTATTAAGG